TTCTGCTCAACATCCCCACTTAGCAGAATTTTTGTCGTTGCGCATCGCATACAGTTCACAGACGACAAACACAGCGCTGGCAAGCGCCGATGGAAGTGGGCAGCGGGAAAAAACTCCGCTCCTCGGGCAGCCCCACACAGGGCTCCATCTCGTGCCCTTCCGGCCCTGCAGCTATGCGTCTGCTACGCGCCCACACAAGACAGGCGAGTAGCAGGCGCTTAGCTTCCTCCCTAATAGAGAGTACTAGACTCTGGCACCACGTTGAGGTGGCCGGCTGCGCCAGAGCGTCACGGGAATCACAAGACTTCTCGCCAGCGCGCGCGGGGAGAAGGTGTTTCTCCGCAACTTTTTCCATTTTCCCTCGCCTGCAAGGGGCGGATTTCTTTTTTTCCCAGCGGGACTGACAAGGCCGCTGGGCGAACGCCCCGCATATGCCGGGGGAGCCGCCACGACGCACTCCGCCTCCCCCGCGCGCTCTCGGGGCCATTCCGCCCTCCCTCCACTGGGCCCCGTCCTTTTCGCCGGGGCCAGGATCCGGTTGGGCGCCCGGCTTGCTGAAGCGGCAACTGCTGACCGCGCGCCGCCCGGGAACGGAAGGGTCGCTTCGATACGGCGCGCCGCCGTCACGCGACGAACAGCCCACCCGACATGTTCGACCCGCAAACAGCAGGGGCATTTGAGGCGTTGCGGGCCCTCCGTCGCACCGAAAGTGAGGAGTATTCCAGTATTCTCGGCGCAATGGGAATGTCCGGAAGGACGCGTTCTGGGAGAAGTTGCCGAACACGCGCGCGCGGGTCCAGCTGGGCGTCCACGCGTGTTTTGGGCAGCACGGGCACTCTAAGCGATCAGGGTGACCGCGAGAGAACTCAGTTCACCACAGGAGCCTTCAGGGCGTGTTGGCTGCGGCAGTCGGCCTTTGTGCCAATTGAAGTGGAACTGCGCGGGGCAGCGCTTGCCACAAGCGGGGCGTCGAAGGCCGAGGGCGCGCTGATGGACGCGCTCTCGCAGCGGCGGCCGGGGTTGTGGAGGAGGCGCCGGGGTTCTCGCGCGCGGTGCGGTGCGGGCCTCGCGAATCGCACTCACACTTGGGGGGCGGGCCTATCGTGTGCTTCGTCGCCACGTGCGCGCCCAAAACGCCTCTCCACCAGTTGTCGTAAAGCCGCATTTCGCGCAGACGCTTGCGTGCCCCTCCGGCGCGTCCGCCAGGGCG